GCTGCTTACGAATGACTTTGCTTTCATAGCCATTTCCATTTTCCTGAGCTGCAAAAGCAGCTATCTCCATGGGGATTTTCCTGAAGGGTGTAACAGTTTAGAGAGCATACGTATATTCTGCATATATTTTACATATGATTTGCAGTCTGTTCTAAGGCAATTTCAGCTTTGCATATCTTATCTATTGGTGATCTGTTTCTCATCTTGTCCCTGAGTGCATTCAGGTAATCACAAGAAAGGTGGAATATTGTCCTAGAAAGGGAGGAAGAAGGGTCAGAAGTATTGGTTACCCTGTTAGTATCCAGAATTGTCAGGATCAGTTAAGCTAGTACGTTGTCAGTATGTGACATAAGAAAGTAGACACTTCAGTTGCTTTCTTCCTCCTCCTCTTTCTCTTCTTCTTCTTTCTCCTTCTCCTCTTCTTTCTCCTCCCCACTCCCCTTCTTCTCCTCCTCCTCCTCCTCCTCCTCCATTATTTTCGTAAAGAAACATTGTAGTCCTAAAAGAATTCTATGTTGGCAGTTCTTAATTTCCTGCCTAGGAAAAGACCATCAGACCATGCCTAGCCTTAGGTGAACTATTTTGGGATAACTTTTGAGTCCGAATTAATAATCTGTTCAGATCTTGAGCCCATGGTCAGATTGCTTTGGAAAGATATGGTCCCCTTTGCTTCTGTGAGTTCCTGGTCCAGTTCGTGCCTTATTTTTTGGCAGCCCTAGACCATCACTGCCAGAATAAATGCTGAACTTCAAACCCAGCCATGGTGCTGCTCCTGGGCCTGGTAGGAGGGTACTGGTGTGCATGTATTTGACTGCCTCTGAGGTTGACTTTCTAGAAAATCCATTTTCATTTTAACTCCTTTCTCATCAACCACACACATAACACATATCCAGCATAGATTCTGCTTGTTTTTGCTAATTGTATCCTTCTAAGATTTTTTTGACCATTATCTTCTCTAATTTATGTTGGAAAGCTGTTTATTTCCCTTTTCCTTTTATAATATCACAATATTTTCATATTAAATATGTTTGAGAAATGTCTCCATGATGTTTCAGTAGTCTTCTGCCCTTCCCAGTTTCAACTCAGAACTACAGCCCCCTTCCTTTGAGACTTCATTGGTTTACATGAGCGTTGACCTTCTTTTCCATGAAGGGAATGTGATAAGTTCTTATATTTATCCTGACTCCCTTTCACATCACAGTCCTATAATGTTAGTTAAATGCACACTGGACATTTTTGCTTGGGTGATTCTTCTTTCTCTTGAACTCATCATGCCTAAAACAGAACTCATTAACCTCTCTCCAAATCCATCTTATCCCATGTCCCCTCTTACTACATTGCTTTTCCTGTGTCTCTCATCAAGCCCTCCTCTAAAGCATCTTATCCATCATTAAATCCTGGTGAATCCTCCTTTTCTCTTTCTCTTCTCATTGCCATGATGCTCATTTGGCCCCTTTGCCTATGACTGATCTTTCTGCCTTCTTCTCTTTCCCTCTAATCCATCCTGTCCACACTATTGCAAAAGCAATCTTTCTGAACAGTATTTCCCCCAGGTCATTCTCTTGCTCATAAAACCTCAGTATTTCCCATCAGCTGCAAGATCAAGCCCAGTTTCTTTAGCCTTGAAACACAATGCCTCCATAGTCCGGTCCCTAGGATAATCTTTCAGTCCTTCTTATTATGGCTGTTTATATGTATGAATGCCTTTATCTGTGTAGCATGCTATTACATACCTACCATGTGCCTGGTAGTACCCTAGTAGTTTCAGAAAAATTGATCAGGAAAATTTTACAAATGCACTTTGTGATCTTGGGAGGTGATGGTACTACCTAGAATGCCCACCATCTTCCAAAGTCTGTTTAAAAATCTCTCTGACCACCAGAAACCTTTTCTGAGCACCCAGGACCCTTCTCTTAATCCCTATTGGTCTTATCATCTGCATTCATTATCTGACACTTTTCAATTCCTCATTCAACCATCAAACACATACTGGGCACCTACCTACTTTGCTTTGCACACTATAATACCTATTGCCTAATTAGGTATACATCAGTGTATTTTCATAGCACAACGTAAATAATAATGCACTTGATAGAACTCTTACCCAGCTTTGTGCAGGCCCAGACTTTTTTACATATATTAATGTATTTAATCCTCAAAACAATGGATGAAGTAGACATTCTTACCCAAATTTAAAGAAAATCAAAGTTCAGAAATGTTTGGCAAATTTCCTAGAAAGAAGCAGAGATGGGGTGCAAACCCAACTCTGGAGTCCTTTTAACTCATGCTTCATAGCCAGGTACTGGTATATATGTCATACATGTGTTTGTGTAAATATAAGCACACAGACTACTGCTTAGTGAGCTCTAACTTCTTAGAGGTCTTGGATGCTTTTCTGTGCTTCGATCCTCTCTGCCTCGCTCAGCCTTCACATATAGTTGGTAGTTGATTTGTTTACTTGATTGGTTGTTAGTTCTTTTCTTCACCATCAGGGACCCAAGATTCGTAGCATGAAATAGGAGGAAAAACAGAATTTCAGAATATTCAGTTCTTAACTCTAAGAGCTATGAGAACAGGCTGTACAAGAAGATACTGACACAAAAGCTTTTGAAAATGGCGTAAAATTTCCTTCACAAAAAGCAAAATAAATCTTAAGCAATATTATGGTTACATAGTTCCTCCCCTCCCCATCCAGTTTCCTGTACTTACTCATGTCCATTTTTTGCTTTGTTGCCTGCAAAACCAAAGTTTTGATATTAGGATCCCACATCTGCATTCCTGGCTTTAATACTTCAATGTAAAGCTCTCAGAAGTTGAAGAAGGTAGAAGAAGATAACATTTTACTTGAATGGCAACACTGCAACTACATATGTAGTTTAATAAAACCTGATAAGGACATATTTGAATTTTAAAAACACAGGTGGTGGGATATTTGCATTTTAAAAGGATTCTTCCTTTCACAAAAGGTTCCACTGCAGGGTTCCATTAAATATCCAATTCCTCTCAGTGCATTTATCCTACAATTTAATTTACCTAAATTTGATTTATGTGCCATTCTAAAGGGGGAGCTCTCAAGTTCCAGTGAACTTGGGAATCACTTGGACAACTTATTTAAAATTCAGATCTTGCTCAGCTCCTCCCCAAGGTTCTCACTCATTCTGTCTGGGATGGGGCCCAGCACCTTCATTTTCAGTGTGTGTCTTTAGTTGCCTGATGCATGTCACCAGAGAAATATACTTAGGGAAGCCCAGAAGTTGAAGCCCAAACTGTAGGGCTTTCTCCATGACCTGCATACCCCTTACCACCTTACCACCAAGTGTCCTTCTTGTCTTTCATTTGGTGACTTGGAAAAGTATTTATCTGGTTTAAATAGACTCTTTCCTCTAGTTTGCACTCATCCATGCACCTTTAATCTCAGTTGTGAAACATTCCCCCCACACCATACTTCTTTTTGGATCTTCTTATTCTCATTTTTTAAAGCCAATGATGCTCTGGTGTATGATTGTCTACCGAGTTCTTACATGTATTCTCCTCTCTTTCCGCTTCCTACATACCTCACCTGCCTGCCCCATAGCCCTTCTTAGTGTTCTCCGCTGGTGTGCCTGAAGGCTGTAACTTGGTCCAGAAAAGCCAGGCCTTTGAAGGATAGTTATTTCTGTGAAGTTTTCTCTTAGCTGATTTGAAGGACTTTTCTTTCTCTATTATCCCACCTCCTCTAAAACAAGAAAGACCCCAAATTAATTTTTTAAATAAAACAAATCGCGAAAATGACTCACTTTGTCATGATTCTATGTTCCATTGAGAATTGATCCTAGTCCTAGAGCAATGAATGTTAGGACTCTGCATTTAAAATATGTTTATAGTTTAATGAAATTCATTTAAAAAATAGACTCCATGACATTTATGGCACATGTATCTATGTATTTAATATATCACTGATCTTTGAAAAGTCAGCTGCTTGACCTATATTTTGCCTCTGATTACTTTTCTAAATCTCTAGTAATCTCCAAAAACATTTAGAGATTTCCATACTTTAGAGTTTTTTCTCCTTTAGTAATCCCCATGTATCCCTGAATTTTGCTCTTTGTAAAGATTCTCTGGAGTGATCTGGATTTTGTAAAATAGATAATAGAAGGAATATAAGAACAAGTATAACAACAGCACACATACATACATAATAACAATAACAAGCAATACAAGAGCAAATGACTGGCGTCACTGATTATTGCTGGAAATCTTTACTTTTAATAAATATCAGAGCTTATATTTCTCTTGAAGGAGCTCATAATAGCTTTATTTACCTACCAGGAGAACATAGCCGGAGATTTGTGTTATTCACCTGAATTTGGTCTTTGTGGATCTTCTTTCAGGGCTGGACTGTGGCTCCCTGACTCAGCATGGTGGATTTTCTAAGAATACAGAAGAAGTGGAGGGTGGGGGTAGGAGACACAGTTTTAGGTTGTCCGAGCAATTTTTGCAAGCAAGATCTTATCTGATATGTTCAGTAGGATTCAATTTATGTAGAAAACAATACTATATCTAGAAAAAAAAGGTGATAATCTGAATACTGAGATTACAACTGATTGTTTATTTTCTTTTCATTTTTCTGAATTTTCCCAGGTTTTACAGTGACCATGTATTCCTATTTCAAGTACTGTAATTTGAAAGAAAGAAAGAAACTTACTTTGCCTGGCATCAGAGTTTTCTCCCCAGGGACCTAATCTTAAGAGATCTATCACAAAGCTCACCAATTGCATAAAACAATGGTTAAAAGAAGAAAAACCAAAAAATCAAAATGAGAAAGCTCTCCTTGTGAGTCCCAGAGTATTTCAGCCTTGGTGTGTGCTCTGAGAGTGTGGTTTGTACGTGGGCCCTTGCTACACTGGCTTCTACTCAGAAGAATTAAGAGAAGATTGCATTCCATTTGGGATTTTAACTTTGTCTTCTTTCTTTTCTCCACTCCCTTCCCCTTCTTTCCTTCTGTCCTCTTCTCCCTCAAGGACTCTCCCACCTCATGATGAGTGAACAAGGTAGGTAGCTTGCGTTTGTACCCTGCCTCTGCCGAACTGCTTGCCTTTGTGCCTCTGGCTGGTCACTCAGAGCCTCCTAGTAGCTGGCAGGCCACCCGCTGCCTGTCCCTCCTGGTGTGGGCCGGGCTGGAAGCAGGGATGCCCTGCTATGGGAGGCACCTTGCCTGATGCATCCTAGTGCCCCACCTGCTCCTCCCCCTGGCTTCTCCATTCTCTGCCACCATTTGTCATCCCAGGCGCTGGCCCTGCTGGGAGGCCTCCAGGAGGGAAGCATGAAACAAGGCATGACGCGTCGATAATGGGGGTGAATGAAGCTAATTTCAGAGCAACCAGGCGGTTAACTTCCTCCTGCTCCTCCTCAGGCCCTGGGCTGGGCCCCAGGTTGGGGGAGAGGAGCTGGGCTTCTCCCCGAATTTCACTCTGGGTAAAGGTTTGCTTTTTGTCTTCCCCTCCATTCCACTTCCCATCTTATTGACGTTTTTTGCATATCGTCCTCTCCCCCTTCAAAGGAAGCCATTTGGGGTTTGACTGTTTTCAGTTTCATATAAAAGCAAAAATCACCAAAAGAACATGCTAATGTCCTCATGGCCGGATTCTAACTCATTATATACCCTGAAGAAAGTTGCGTATAAAGATTTGTGAATTCAGCATCTGCAACCTAAAATATTCAGATATGCAGGGAATGAACTGTGCAGGAAATTCAGCTCAGCTAAGCATGGGGTGGGCTATGAATGAAGCCTTTTTCTCCTAAATAAAAATTTTCCACCTTATCAGCCCAAATCAGGATTTGAGAATTGAGCCTACTTAAAACTGTCTTTTCTTTCATTGTTCAATTGTGACTATTGTTTCTTTGGAGTCTTGGGATGATTACAAGATTGGTGTACCTGTCTTGCCCCATCACCAAAAGATTTTACTTATATTTTTCGTATCTGTTTCTTTTCAAAATACACATGGGACCTAGTGCCTCTTTTGGAGGATCAAAGAAAAGAGTAAGGAGGGTACCTCCAAATATTTCCCTTTTCCTTGGTCTTGGAGGGAGAGTAGGCAGCACTATTCCTCTGTTCCATTATATCAGGTCCATCAGATGGTTTTGCTGTACAGAGAGGTAAGATCACATCAAGGAAGCCCCTAGGACTAAAAGAAGATTGTTTACAGCATGCAAGTAGCTATGAGGATGAGCCGTTGAGAACACCCAGAACTGATAAGGCAGAAAGCCTGTAGATATCAAAGAGCAGAGCAGAGGGAGGGGGTCAGTGTTAGATGGTTCCAGAAGAGGCTTGGACGAACCCTGTCTGTCCTTGTAGGTGAGTGAGACAAGCAGGTGCCAGCAGCAGGTAGTCATAAAGGGGTATGAGTAGGGGTTGTGTCTGATGTTGACCTAATCAGTTTGAGAATTAAGTTCTTTAAGAGGACAGAAGAACTGAGCCCTATGAATTGCTGGAATTTGATGACCCACCTTTGGTGACCAGTTATACTAGAAAAAGCAGGCCCTCAGAGTCCTGATCACGGGGCCTTCTATATTCTCCAGTCTTATGCTCCCAGCTACCCTTCAGGAGTTCTCCCAACTTTTACAGTAGCTCGAAGTACTATGTACATCAGCTAGCTGATGTCATGGGCAGAGCATGGCGGATGGGGCAGGCTGATGGGGACTTCCCTGATCTGGAGGTAGCTTATTCCAGAGACACTGGTGCAGCACAGGAAGGCTAAATTCCAGTAATGGCGTGAAAAGCCTTTGGACAACCTATCTTTTGCACCTTACCCTGTCTTTAAATGTACCCATGTAGGAGACTCAGACACAACCACGCCCCAGGGAAGTAACTCAGGTGTCTTCTAGAGAGAGAAAGAAATGATGACATACATGGATGTTGTGTATTTCTCTTCAGAGACGTTTTCGAGAAAGGATGCAGAGCTCTTCTGGGTGACTGGTGCCACTAAGATTTTAATTTGTTACTTGTGGCTTAATCTTTTTTAAAACAAACCTTTGACTGCATTACTGTTCCTCTCATTTTTTCCATTTCCTGTTTTTTTGTCCACTCTTGCACTTCTGAGGATTATCTGAAGACAAAAACAAAAACAGTGCTCTTCATACCGATACTCCTCCCTTCTCTTTATTCCTTCACGTCCAAAAAGGGGAGCTTCTGTTTGGTTCCCACTGACTCCCCAGAACTTGTTGCTGATGTCCGTAAACATGGGTGGAGATATTAATGAATGTTGTGTGTGCATCACCGATGTGCTTATGTTACACTCTCGGTCATCACAACTCACGTTAATTTTGGAAAATACAAGGGGGCTTTCCTGAACTGTGCTAGACTGGTTAAGTGCATGCAACTTCACACCCATGCGGCTGTGCTGTGTTTTGCATGCCGACCGCGTCACGTTTCTAAGGATGGGATGAAGAAGTCGTGTACGGGACGAAGCTCATACTTGGTGGAAGGAGCCCTGCTGGTCACCGCGCTTCCCGCCTGCTTGAGTTTCCCACCATGTGCTCCTTTTGTGCTGCCTTCTCAGAGAGTTGCTGTGCTGCCGCTCTTGCTATCGGGGGAGTTGTGTGTGCTCCGTCTCTGTGTGTCCACAGTGTGCTGATGTTCCTCTCCTCTCTTCTTTCTGTCATCGCCTCCATGGTGGACACCATGCTTCCTCTCCTTGCCTGGACCTTCTGCTTCATTTCTGTAGGTAGAAGTAAAGGTAGAGATCGCTTTGTTTTTTATCAATATAACTATCTGCCTTCTACATTACTCATGAATGCCAGGGGAAATGCTGGTTCTGATGGACACAGACCAGATTAGAACCTCACGTGTTTCCCAACAACTGGAAAAAAAAAAAAAAAGAAAAAAAAAAGCTGTGACTATCACGTCTCGTCAATGCGCTTTGTGTTTGGTGTTTGGGGGTGGCTCAGAGTTGACTCAGCTCTTTCTAGGTACGACATGAGCCTTACGCTTGATTTCAGACTGTTTCTAGCAGGAGTGGGGGACTATGGCATTGGTTGTACAGTGTGGAAAAGATGTATTTTACTTCAGTACTGCGTATTCTAAGATGTCCTGTCAGGAATGTGTTTTGAGGCAACGGTGGAGGTGGGAGTGATGTGCCCTCATGGCTGTTATTTGAGAGTAACTGCATTTGGGGGAGCATCAGCGAGGAAGGAATGATAGTCGAAGAGGAGAGGATTGGTGCGTTGCCTATAATTTTATATAATGTAGAATGGGGGATATTGATTTATTGTTCCCCATCTGTACTGTTTTTACTTATATGGAGGAATTGGAATTTTCTGACGAGGGGTAATAGAGTAAGAGAGGTGGGACTGGGGTGGGGTGGGGAAGAATCTAAGAATAAAAATACGTGATACTGTAAGCAGGAAGAGAAGAAAGAGGTAATCCAGGATTTTAAATTACAAAGTCAGCCTTTTGCCAGGTGGGCAGGGAAGAGGAAGGGCGCTGATCCGGTGGGTGGGTTTGCTGCAGCGCTCTGACATGCCTTTCCTTGCTTCACACCTTTGGGGCACACAGCTCACTCATCCATTGCTAATCAAAGCTGTCAGAGACTCGAGCCCGGAAAACCTGTCTCACCAGCTCGAACTGGATGAACTGCGGGAGGGAAGGGAGAGGTTAATTGATAAATTATGAATATGTATCTGCATCCGCTTTTTCCCAGTGACTCCCTAATTCTGCAGCCCCATCTCGGAGAAGCTGTATGCAGCAGTTTCCTTCTAAAATTGGAAAATAACAAAAGCAGGAGACGGGAATTCTGATATAAGATGGGGATGAAAGGAGGGGCTGACAAGTTGTTAAAAATGCTGTGAACTGGTCATTTCTCATTTGAGTTTAATGCTTTGGATTTGTAACAGAGTCATGTATGATTGCCTTGGATGCAGTTCAGCCCTTCCCACTTTGGGGATGGCTGTTTGACTATTGCTTTTATGGTGATCCTGGATGTGTTCATTTTTAGGAATTTGCCATGGGGAATCCCAACCCCATTGCTGGGTTGTGATCTTTGGGAAGGAAGTGGGTGCTGTAGTAGTCAGGGTTTTGGCAAGGGGAATACATTTAATACAGGACACATAATTTATAAGATTATTTTATGGTATTTACCCAAAAAGTCAAATACAGAGGAGTGGAAGAGATTAGCCACACACTAGAGGCCCAAAGAATCCAACCAAGGGCCTGGATCCCTCAGCAATGTTCCACACAAATCCACATAAAGGCCTAGAGTCCGGGGCAATGTCCTTCAGGAGTCCAGCTAGAGCCCATGGCAATGTCTCACGCTGTTCTTTATCGATGATCTGCACCTGGAAGGTCCAAAGGCCAGTGGCAGAAACCAGAAAACCTATGCTGGTGGGATGAGGATTTGTACCACCAGGCTGAGGGATCCATACTGTAGCTCACAGTGAAGATCAGGGCTCCCCTGTCAAGAAAAGCAGCCATTCCCAAGGACAACAAGGCCTTGAGCTTCTCCTCAGATGAGAACAGCCAAGTTTGCATCATACCTGCTACAGCAAGCTTCTCCTATAAAATCAACAGCTCCATGATCCTTCTCCAGTTCTCTTTTTTATGGCTGTTGGCAACAATCGTCAGGTGGATTTTCCATCCCCAAACCATGCTGATTCAGTTCAGCTGGGCGTTACAAATTGACCGTTAGTTAGTCCACCATAGGTGGGAAACGGGGAGGAGGGAGAATAACATTTAGAGAGCTATGTCTCTGGCTGTACCAGGGATCTCCTTGTATGCAAAATAGTCTGCCTAGGACTCAGCCTTTCTGAAGTCAATGACACTGTCCCTTGTCCCTCCTCCTATTGACCTCAGCAATGCATTAGGACCAGTACATGTCTGCCTCTCTCTTTTTCCCAAATTCCTTATAGTACCCCTTAAAATTGGTGTTTTAGAAGTTTTAGATTTTGGACACAAGTAAGATAACAAGGCCCAGAGAGTTAAATAACCTAAGGCAGGTGGCTAATCAGTGGAAATCAATGAGAGTCCCTAACCCGTGCTCTATACTGCCTCCCTTGGCTCCAAGAGTGACCTCTGTGTATATGCGTCCTAGCTACCTCCTGGGCATTGATCTGTCTTCAGTTCCAGCCTGCTACCTTGCATTTGTTGTGATGTATGTCCATACAGCTGTCACCTGGTCCCATTACCTCAGTATGTCCAAAGACAGCCTTTGTACCATCTGTCTACAAACCAGCTTCCTTTACTGATACCCCTATTTTTGTTAGTGGATCCCCATTCTCCTTATCACCAAGGCTGGGCACCCAAAAACTGCTTGGTATCCCGGAAAGTCATTTGAGAGCTTATGAGATTCTCCTTCAGAGTGTCTTTCCCATCTCTGCAGTCAACACCTTGCTGTGGTTCCCGGCTGGTACCTTTTAGAACGTTGCCCTAACCTAATTAGCCTCCTTATTCTTCTTGTCTCCCAGTCTTTCCTGTAACTGAGAACTGTGTGAACTCTGCTGTCCATCAGCTATAGGATTAGCTCTCTCACTGCCAAAGCCTTCCCCAGTGTGACCCTGTTTCCCTTTAATCCTCTTCCCTGCTCATCTTAGATGATAATTGCTGCTCTGATCAAACAAGATACCAAGTAAGCTTACAGACTTTCCTTGTCTCCTAGCTTTACTTGTTTTGTTTGTCTCCCCTTTAATAGCTCCACTTCGCCTTTTTTCTGACTATTGAAATCATACATAGAACTCTTGACCTACCTAACGCTCTCCTTGAGTGTTCCATGGCAGAGTTGAGCTTTCCCTCCACACATCTAACAAGTTATATTAAAGGTTTTTTGGGAACTGGGCCATTCCTGTCTACTAGATTGCATGTATGTTGAAGACAAATGTGTTCACCTGTTAATGTCCAGATGCGTCTACTCTACTGTGTTACATGTGGAAGGGACTAAAAAAATCTCTATTTCTGCTCACTCTGCCATCAGTCATCTTGCTGAAAGTGAAAATGAAACAAGCTTAAAAGTTAATCAGATCACGTAGCTCATCTGCTCAAAAGCTTTTGATGGTTTCTCATTGTGTAATTGTCCAAGGGCCCTCCCTGTTTTGTTTTATGACCCTGTGACCTACTACTCTTCATTATCGCCCTTGTCAGCTCCCCAGTCTCCCAAAGCCTCTGGCTACCCTGTGTGAATCCACACTGTGTTTTGGAGTTTTGCTCAAGCTCTGTGCTTTTTCATGAGTGTCCTTAAATACGCTTCTTCTTCAACATGCTTAGAAGTCAGAGCCTCCTAGGGCTTTTTTGCTTGTGCTGTAAAGGGCCTGCACCAAACTGTACCAGATTTACTCATGTGTTTGAGTCATGATGTCTGCACAAAAAAGGATGAAGGCTGTGTCTTGGTCATTAATGACCATTCATGGCCATACTGCATGAACTCAGTGCTTGGTCCAGAGCTGTGTTTGATGAATGCTCCTAGACTTCAGTAGTTTAACTGAACTAAACAATTGGTCTTAGTTATATAGGGAGGGATAAATTGGATTTGATTTTTCATCAGTGATGTTAATAGGGTCATGCTACTCACCAACCAGTACCCCATGTCAATTCTCTCATTATCCCAAGCCACTAGGCAAAGGAACCCCAAGGTTCATGCAGTGAAGCCAGAGACCAGATGTTCTGGCTCCAGTTCCCTTCCCTCTGAGTGTTCATGTGTCATGTGTCGAGGTATAAGTGGTTATAGATTACATCCAAATAAATATGGCTAAGGTTTGGGATTGATTCTTAGGAGTGTGACAGAGAGAAGAATCATTGTGCTTCAGATTTTGTCATCCTTTAAAATCGGACTGACAGAACAGTAAACCCATAGCAAAAAGAATTGTGGAGTCAAGCCTACAGAGCTAAGTAGGACGTTTAGGCTGAAATGATAGCCACTGCATTCAGGAGGCCATTAAATAGCACATGGCCAAAAACAAGTGAGTCAAGAAGTGGCTGACCAGAAAAGTTCTTCAGCAAATAGTACTGGTCAGCTTTTGGATATAATTTTTACAGCTTTGGTTTAAGTGTTAACTGTATGAATAGGATCCTATCCCCCTTTTTCTTGTTCATTTGAGAGCTGCCTATTCTGGGCCAAGTGACCAAATATTTTCCCTTGCAACTGGACTTGAAGGAGAAGTTGAAGATGCGAACGCCTACAGGAACCTGCCATGTATCTAGGGGCAAGGAAGATCCTAGTGTAATTCAGGAAATGGCAGGTGGCAGCGGGGACTCTGGTAAAGTGGCAACCACAAATCCTGTCAACAGCACAGCCTTGACTCTGCTCTGTGGCTTGCTGTCATGCAAGAACTCAGGCTAGATCCTCAAGGTAAGCCAGATGTGTGTTTTATAGTGTTAGCCCATGGCATCACTTTCTTGCTATAGACATGTGTGAGTACATATATCCAGTTGTATAGGTATGTACCAAATGAATTAACCCACCAACCACAAGGTCAGACCTTTGACTTGGGAAAGAAGATGGAGTAAAACATTTTCCAACATTTTTTGTTAGATGTCAATAGAGGGGATGGTCTCTGAAAGCACAGTTAATTTTCTCTTTGCCCCTAGCATTGGCCAGGGTACAAGGTATTCTTCTTATCCTTGGTGCAACTGCCAGTGCCAGATCCCTGTGTTAGGTGAAGTTGGTTTTGTTTGGTGGTGTGGGCCTACGTAGGGAGGGTGTGGTGAATGCTGAGAATGACTGGGAAATGAGGTGACATCTTCAATATTTCT